AGTAAGTAATTATAATTTTACTATAAAATATTTTTTCAAGACAGGTTTTTCCAAACGCGACAGCTTTTTCGCATGACTGTATACAGAAGACGAAATAAGGGGCTTAATTTCAAAACGCTTATTAATTTAAGGGTTATTTAAGGGTTTTGCTACTATAAGTGGAAAATTTTGAAACGTTCAGCTAAAAATAGTCACAATTTTTAATAACAATTAAATAACAATTAACAGACGCTTAGGGTTCGATAAAAATTAAAAAAAATAATAAATAAAAATATTAATAGTTTTTGTTTAAAAACAATTTATTCTGAACTATAAAATTTAAATGGATAAGGCGAACAAAAACCCAATCACCATAATATGTTCAGAAGATGCCCCACATCTTTTTTTAAATGTCGAGTTCAAAAAAGAACAACAATGTACTGAAAAGTGTTTGACATTGGACGACTACATAAAAAGTGACCTTGATACGCTCAAATTTAAAGACAACAATGAAAACATTTTCAATGATTCTATTTATAAAACAAATTTTCTCGATGATGATTACGATGATAGTACCAGAATAAATTTAAATGAATTTCCACTAACAAATAAACAAAAAGAATTAATTATCGATAATGAACTATTTGTTGAGTGCAGTGAGGCGGAATTAATTTATTCACCATTTGAATTTCTTCAACTTCTTTCGGAACTTCGAAACAGAGACCACAAAAATTATCTTACACTTGAAATTTTTATCTGTGAATTTGTTTCATCTGAAGAGTACACAAAATGCACAACATCATTTCAACAACAAATAGTCTTATTAATAAAAATGATGGAACGGTGGTGCAAAACTCAAGGAAGTAACGGGAAGTCAAAAAACAAAAGACGCTTATTAACACAAGAAGACATTGCCGCTCTTTTTGGGGTATCAGCGGCTCGAATAACTCAATTGAAGACAAGTGGTATTAAAAGAAATTTGGGTACTATTAAAAGTTCTGGTGGACAATACAAATTATCAAAAACACAAATGAATCAACTAACTACAATAATTAAAATTCGTTTGGAATACGGAAAGATTGTTACTGTTGATTATCTCCAAGACTACATTTCCAGATGTTTCAAAGTTACATATACTACCAATGGTATCACAAGTTTGATGAAATCTTTAGGACTTAAAAAAGTATCTGCACGTATTGTCGAAGAGTCAAGAATGGGAATATCTCCCCAAAAGCTTTATGATTATTTTTTAAAGGCAGATCATGCTATTGATGGCGTTCCTGCGACATTTATTTTTAACATGGATGAGTCTGGCCATCAAGATTTTTTTGATATTTCCAACACCAAAGTTTTTATACCAGAAAGTGCAAATATCACTGATCTTCGTTGTTCGGCAGACAAATCGGCTAAAAAAGTATCACATGTGGCATTAATAAATGCTCGAGGATACACACTTAAATCCACAGTGATAATTCCCAATAAAAACATGTCATGGGAATTCAGTCTTTTTGGTTATGATGAAACAACCACTCACTTTTTATATTCTCCAACATCAACAATGAATGTTTTCTTGTTCAAAGAGTGGGTGGTTGATGTTTTTATAAAGGAATTGATGATTTATCGTTCTAAATACAATTATAATGGACCCGCTGTTCTCTTTTTGGATAATTGTCCATCACATAACAACCAAGAAATTTTAGAATTACTCAATCAAAACAACGTTCGTGTTATATTTTTTGTGGCATGCACAACAAATTACACACAAATGCTTGATGTTGGACTTTTTGCAAATCACAAATTAGTTAAGAAAATGCAAAATGTTATTGACTTGAGAGTAGATGAAACATTGGACTGTGGGTGGATAAACTCGATCAAACAGCACAATTCAATCATGGAAGTCGTGTCCAATAAATTGGATCTGGGAACACCTCTTCATGATATTTATGTTGGGTACAAGAAAACCAATAATGACAACATATTATACCAAAGAATGTTAGAAGAAGGGACTGGATATAAGAAAGAAGTAAAAACCATATTAAAAGTGTCAAAGTTTGTAAAGGGTGTTGTTTCTGTACTCAGTAGTTTTGAAAAAACGTGTGCTATACCAGATGTTATGAGTTCATTTATACAGGTTGGGTTTGATGTTATCAGATGCTCTGATGGTGAATTTTACTGTCGAGCTAATCCATTATTGGCCAGGGAACTATACAGAAGAGCAGATTTTATAAGGGAAATGGCAAAATTTCCAATACGTCCCCTTGAAAATGGTAAATTGTCAAAATCAATCGATGGAGCTTATAAAGAAATGTGTATAAGACAGAAAATGGAAATAGAAAAAAAAAGAAATGAAAGAAAAAAATCTTGAAGAAAAAGTAAAAATTTTGGAAGATAAAAAGAAAAAGAAAAAAGAAGAAAAAGAAAAAAAAACAGAAAGAAAAAGCAAAAATTAAAGAAATGAAAATGAAAGAAAAGGAAACGAAATTTAAACAAACAAAAACAAAACCGAACGAGACTGAAGACATAGTTATTTCAACTCAAAAACAAAATTTATTTAATATCCAAAAAATTGAAAGGATGACATCAAGTCAAGGAGAAAAAATAAATATAAATTGTCATAACAAAGAACGAAAAGAACAACAAGAAAAATGTTTGAAACAACTGGACTTTTCAAATGAAAAGAAAATGATTGAATTTGACACAATTATGGAACCAAAACGAAAAATTCCATTTGTAGATTACAACACTTATTGGTGTTGTTCGCGCGAAGTTAATGAACATAAAAATCGTGTTTATAATTGGTTGGGATCTTTCATATTTGATGATTTTATCAATTCAAATAAAATGAAGTTGAGTCAACTTGATGTGGAGTGTTGGAACACTTTCGATCTTTATTTTAGATCAATTGAAAAGGTCGATTTTTGTTGGGACAAGAAGAGTGTATTAATAATACCAACATTAATTAGAAACAACCATTGGGTCGCTTTTATATTTCTAAAACGTGATTTAACTTGGAGTCTGTTTTACTTCGACACACTTCCTCAAAATAATAAAAACAACACAACAATACCAACTGATATTGATCCTCGATATTTTAAACTTTTCGGAGACTTATTTGGCAACTATTCAATAGAAAAAACGACAGTGATGATTCAAACGAATGGATGGGAATGTGGGTATCGAATTGTATTTTTTATTCATAAATTGTTGTTGGGATGTTCATTGTACGATAGTGTTAAATACAACAAAGAAGAGTTTATGAATTTCGTTGAAGAATTTAAAAAAATGTATCCAAATGTTGATCTTATGTAATATATTTTAATCTTATTTATTGTATTAATATTATTCAATTTGGTATAGTTTTATTATAATCTAATTTTTATTACAAAAAGTATTTAATATTATTATAAACTTATTGAAAACAAACCCTTTTGGAACTTAAAAATACGTTAATATAATATTATCTTCAACTCTTCGTTATGATTGTTACACGTTAGAATGATTTCATGTTTGTTTCATTGCATCAACCGACTTTGTTTGTATTTATTTTACCAATTACTATAAGAAGGTGGGTTGGTTTCAAAACACAAAGTGACTTAGTAGTTCTTATGTTATTTTATGTGTGTCTAGACTGTTTTCGAGTAAATTAAAGTTCGACCATTTAGCTACAAAATCAAATTATAATCGTTAAAAGGTTTGTATTTAAAAACATGTATTACTATATTTACACAATAATAATCAGCTTGACGTATAGAGTTTTTATTAACCCCAGAAATCATTTTTGTAATGTGCACACAAAACCTATTTATTCTATTACAGTTACTGGCTTTTAATTGATACACTTGACTGGAAACACTAATGTAAACATGTTGACCAAATTGTGTTCTGGTCTATATTAAAATTGAGCATCTCTTTTGAAATCAAGCGTATTTTGTTTTGTTTTTATGAGTTGGAAATCGTCAAGTAATGATTCTAATGGCTGAAATTTATTTTTTTTGTTTTTTTTATAATAATGTTATTAAATATAAAAAATACATATAGTTTATTTTACTATACAAATTTACAAAAAAAACTTTTTGAACCCATTAAATTACTATATTAAATTACTATATTTTTATTAATAATTTATTTTTTTCAATGTATTTTGGAAACCCTTAAATTAATAAGCGTTTTCATATTAAGACCCTCATTTAAGCCTCTGTACATGTATTTGAATAACCAACAAATATCAATTATTTTTGTGTTTATTAAGTTGAAGACCTTTTCCATTATTTACCGATAAGTCAAAATTAGCTTTTTAATTAGAATTGTTTTAATGTACAATTTTGTAAATTAAAAATAAAGTTTAAATTTACACACAATTTTAATGTTTTTTTAATTGTATTTTTTTGTTATATTTGTGTTTTTTATTATTTAGTAAAATATCCAGCCTTGTATTAAAAATATTGGGGTGATATTCCCGAATTTGTGGTAACAAAATAACTTATAGACAGGCGATTTCCCAATGAATACAAGTCGTTGCCACGTCATGATGCAATTAAGCATCTCGTCCATTAATTAAAATTTAACCAACCACATTAAAGCTGGTGATGCAATTTGTGTTATTTGGACAGGGTAATTTCCCCGATTTTTAAACAAATATTTATATCATTTTATACTCATTATCCATTTTTATATTACATTTATTGTACATAATAGATTTTTTAAACTATACATCAAAATGTGTTAAAACAACATTGACAATGTATTACTTTAATAAACAACTCAAATATTGTTGTATTTATTTATAATAAAATTATATACATTCTGATGTTTAAACAATAAATACTAAAAAACAATTAATAATTTTTTGTTATTTGTAAGGTTTTATCAATTCTGTTGCTCTGAAAGATATTGGAGAGGTATCTTTTAAAGCATTCTAAACATCATCAACATTATCAACTTTTTTCCAACAGCCTTTTTGCAAAACACGTTGCATATGCTCCACAAAAAGTTCTGTCTCTTTGTTGCTCCACTTTAACTTCGTGAAGTTTACTTCCTTTAAAAAGCGGGTCGTCTTGACGAATTTGAGACCCAACGTTTTTCATGTATTTGGTATAACATGTACCCATCAGGCTGTTAAGACCAACGATACATTTGGTATTTTTTAAAAGAACTAAAAGAAAAAAAATGAGCTTTGAAAAGAAGTGGTACAATAATTGTATTAACAGTTTGTTCAATATTGTTGTATTCATACACAAAGTCGTTTTTCAATAATTTGTTATTATAATTAAGAAACCAGCTGAGTAAAAAAGATTTATTTGTTTTATTACCATTATTTGTGTTCATTTAATAAGTTCTATAATCTTCTAATATAAAAGTGTTTAACATCATAGTATCATCTAAAACTGTTTCGAGTTCTGTTTTTTGTTGTACTGATTCATTATCACAAATATTGATAAATGGGGGTTATGATACTGAATTGATACAATCAATATTTGTACTGTTAATTGTGTTAACTCTATAGAACACATTAGTTTTGTTTTTCAATTTGATTTCTTTTGACAATGTTTTATCAATTGAAATAATGTCGTTTTCAGATTGTTGTGTGCATACATCAAAATTATCACTGACGTCCAATGAAACAGTTATTTGAAGTCCGACTTTTTCAATAACAAAACAGTCGTCTATTAAAACAAGTTTGTTATTGTTATTTTTAGAAACAAAAGTAACCAAATCTTTATCATTGCGGAAAGGGACACATTTACCAGCCAATTCCACCCATTTTAAAGTATGTAAGTGGTAATTTTGAGTGTTAATTCCAGAAACATTCATTAGAGACGCACAAATAATCAAGAAAAAACACGTGAATTTCTTCTTGTTGCAAAGTCCAACACAACTTTGGTTTGAAAATGACTCACTAAATCCGCAGCTAACAAAAAGTCATTTTCATGTTTCATACAAGCATTAATATAGGATTTGGACTGTGAAAATGTTTTTTTATTGCATTCAATTGTGGACTATATAGAACACTATAAGTTACATATATTACATTTTCTCTGAATGTATTATTTGCATTCTTGTTATGAATACCAGCATTATCTAAAATCAAGGATACAAAAGAATTTTTGAACCATTTTTTAATTTGTAAAATGAATAATTCTTTTAGACAATTGACAAAATCTTCATTTTTGTTAGTCGTGTCTTTTAATCGAAAAACCAACCTTTTCCCTGGTGCCATTAACACGATTGTTGTGAAAGATAAACCCTTTATTATCAGAAAAACAACATAACAACATTCTCCTTCAATAGATCTTCCTTGTGTTCTTGATTGATTTGTATTATATCCAACTTCATCAACATAAACAAAATAAAAATTAAGTGAAATCAAAATATTAAAATGTTGCCAATACATATATCTTTGAGCAATTCTCAAAATTGAATTACTATCTTTGGGTTCTTTTTTTATTTGTTTTGTTGTAAAACAACTTTTCTTTAAAATTTTATGAACCGCACTTTTAGATATTTTTGTATCCTGAATCATTTTTCAGAGTCAAACTCCATTAAATTGCATAGAGAAATAACTCTTTGTTTTCTTATATTGCTTACTTCTTCAGCTATTTGAACCAGAGTCTTTTGTGGATCGTTGCGAGTTATTCGAAGAATGTCTTCAATGGTTTGGAGATCAATCTTTGAATTGCCACATTTAAAACCTCTTTTACGACCTCTTTTTCCACCCATTGGCCTATTTGCAATTAAAAGCGCTTTTTGTTTTGATACTTGAAATTCGTTTGATGTTCTTTGGGGATCTTTCCAAATTTCAAAATGTGTTTAAATAGAAACGTTTTTACACCACATTTCATAACTTTTAGGATTATCAGGTAAATAAAAAGGTTGTTGTGTTTTTGTTGGAGTTGAGAATATAATTTGAAGGTCCAATTGGACCCCTTTCAATTGTTTCGAAACGTTGAAAGTGTTGCTTTTTAAAAATCAAAGAATATTGTATTTTTCTTTTGAAAATAGTGATAAATGTTGTTACTCCACTTTAATCCATTGATATCAACAACCACCCCGGGTTTTTGGAATTGAAATATGTTTTGTAATTGTTAAAATAAATATTATTTTCTTCAAAACAGAAGTTTCAATAATTGTATTAAAATAGAAAGGTGAAATAAAGTCGTATATTGTTTTTTTCATGAAATAATTGTTCATCTTTTTGTATATTAGTTGTAACTCGTTGAAGTTTTAGTTCATTCTAAAAAATAAGGATGATTTTTTATATTTAGTTATATGAAATATAAGTTGATTTGACATGTAATTGGGTTTTTATTCAATAATATATAAATTAATCAATTCTTATAACATGCACTGTTTTCTACACACTTTGAAATTAAAAAAATAGTAATATGGTTTAATATATTTATAAATTTCAATACAAACTATTAGTATAAAATAAAATGATATAAATATTTGTTTAAAAATCGGGGAAATTACCCTGTCCAAATAACACAAATTGCATCACCAGCTTTAATGTGGTTGGTTAAATTTTAATTAATGGACGAGATGCTTAATTGCATCATGACGTGGCAACGACTTGTATTCATTGGGAAATCGCCTGTCTATAAGTTATTTTGTTACCACAAATTCGGGAATATCACCCCAATATTTTTAATACAAGGCTGGATATTTTACTAAATAATAAAAAACACAAATATAACAAAAAAATACAATTAAAAAAACATTAAAATTGTGTGTAAATTTAAACTTTATTTTTAATTTACAAAATTGTACATTAAAACAATTCTAATTAAAAAGCTAATTTTGACTTATCGGTAAATAATGGAGTAGTATATAAATTGTGCTGATTTCGTGCACCCTTCGGGAACACTCAATCTTCACAATTTCGTCGCTTCGCTCTGTTATTTAGGTTTAATTATTTTAGCTATTATTTCAAAGTGATAATTTTATTTTTTCTTATCCTAAATGAGCACTACACAAGAATACTTGAAAAAGAAATTTCACAAGTTTATTAAAACTTATTCCGAAGAAGAAATTTTTGATTGTTTTAGAATTAAAGATGGAATTATTAAAGCAGCATCTACTAAAATTTTAAATAGAGAATGTAGAAAAGAATTATTGAAAATGAATATTGAATCCAGAAATGTTTATTTTGATTATAAAGAAAAATTAGAACAACACGTAGCGGCGCCTTTAGCGCAACCATTTTTAAGAATTGTGTTTGATAAATTAAATAAAACTGATAAACAAACTTTTGGATTAATTAATAAAAAAGCCTCAACAATTAAAGCTATTGACGATGCAAAAATTCAAAAAAAAAAACGTAATAAAAAGAATTTAGAATGGAGTTTAAAACATAATACCGAAATAGATGATGAAGCAATATCTCAAGAATATTATAATTGTGTTAATGAACAACTTAAGAATGAAAGAGAAAACGAATACATGATTAATAATTATGATAATATCAAAAATAATTTAGAATGGAGTTTAAACAATAATATTGAACAAATAGATGAAGATGAAAACAGAGATCAAATTTATGATGAATATCAACCATACAAACGATCAATAAATGATAATTAATATAAAATAGAAGGTGTAAGATATGACGTAGATAATAATATAATTCATGCTGATCTTAATTGTGGATTTGAAGAAAAATTAAGACGAATTGGTATGATTAGACAGATTTTTAATCAATTAATTGAAAAACTAGATTCAACAGCAAATTTAGTTTATAAATATAGATTTACTGATACCACTTGGAAAACATATATGTTAAATTCTAAAGAAAATATAGATGAATTTCTAAAGTCAATTTCAAACGAAACTCTTGGTTTATATAATCAATCTTAAATTGAAAACAGTTCAGATTCTGCATTTTATGTTCAACATGAAGTTCCAGAACCTTTATTTATTACAGAATTAATAACTGAAGAATATGATTATAAAAAAGAAATCAATGAATATCGAAATAATGGTGCTGCATTTTTTGCTTATCATTATACAGAAGAATATAAATGTTTCTCTAAATATTTAAAAATAGCACAAATATTTGATTCTCTTAGTGTTGAAAACAAAATTAGACATGAATTAAATTATAATTGTTTAATATATGTTTTACAACAAGCTAAAATAGATGAGAAAATTATTGATTTATATCGTGTTCATTGTTATTCAAGATATCAGAAAATTAAATTGATAGATGAAGTTTCAAAATCATGTAATATTAGAATTCAAATAAAACGTGAAGAATTAAAACGTCAATCTAATGCAAATACAATAATGAAATATATAGGATCAGATAATGAAGAAGCTACTGAAATTAGTATGTATTTATTCAGAGATTCAAATATGAAAGGTGATCATTATTTCTTGGATATTGATATTCCTATTACTCCATTTTATCTTAAGAATAGAATTGAAATGAATGAATGGGCATTAGATCACAACAAACCAATTGAATCTATGTTTAATAAACAAAGTAAGAAAGGAAATTTATATTTAATCAATCCAGGAGCTAAATCCAGTATAAAATTATCAGAACTTATTTTATATATTAGAGATAATAACGGGTTTAAACCATATTCACTTAGTGATGTTCTTCATTTAAAATCAGATTTATCTGATTATGTCAAACAATCAATCGAATCATTAGATTATTTCGATTTCGAAGTTAAACCAATAACAATGGAAAAAACTACGGAACGAAATAAAAAATCTAAGTTCAAAAACTATATTTACTATTATGCAGATTTCGAAGCTAGCACACAAGAAATTCATAAAGCATATTGTGTTGCTTATTCTAGACGAAATTCATCTCAAATTTCATGTAAATACGGAAATGAATGTGTGGAAGACTTCTTATCTGATTTAGATAACAATTCAGTTGTTTACTTTCATAATTTGAAATATGATTCGTGTTTCTTGGCAAAATATGGAATTGAGACATGTATTAAGAAAGACGGTAAAACTATGAAAATGAAACTAAATTATAATGGAAAAAGAATTGTTTTGAAAGATAGTTATTCAATGATTTCAAATAAGTTATCAGATTTTCCTAAAATATTTGATTTATCTAATATTCAAAAAGAGTTATATCCTTATAATTATTACACCATAGAACGAATTCAAAATAACTTTGGAATAATTTCAAAAGCTGGTGAAGATGAATCTAAAAAATGGAATAAAGAACAATATAATTTATTTAAAGAGAATATATCTAAAATCAATAATTGTTTAGTGGATAACGACAAGTTCGATATGTAATTATATTGTAAATTCTACTGTTGTCAAGACGTTAGAATATTAAAAGAAGGTCATATTAAATTCCGAAATAATAATTTGAAAAGTTTAAATATAGATGTTGACAACTTTATTAGTATATCTGCTTTAGCTAATCACTATTTCAAATTACATGTTTACACACAAATTACAAACTTAATGCAATATTCTGGGAAAGTTAGAGAATTTATACAGGGTGAAGTATATAAAGGTAGAAATATGTGTAGAGATAATACTAAACAATATGTTACTAAAGATTTATATGATTATGATGCATGTTCATTATATCCTGGCTCTATACATAAATTAAAACCAGCAATTGGAAAACCTATAGTAATCCCACAATAAACCTGTAATAAAACTATATTAAACCACTTAATGTTAGAACAACAATTAGAACCAACAAATGAACGTTATATATCAGCATTTATTGTAGATATAGAAATAACCAAGGTTAACAAACATTTACACTTCCCAATTATAACTAAGAAAGATAAAAAAGGTAATCATAATGTTAATGAATGTTGTACAATGAGAGTAGATAATATTATGCTTGAAGATATGATTAAATTTCAACAAATAGAGTTTAATATTATTAGAAGATATTATTGGACTGGATGTAAATCTAATGTGTTTAGTAACGAGATTGAAAAGATATACAATTTAAGATCTCAACTTAAAAAAGAAAGTAATCCATTACAAAATAATTATAAATTATTGATGAATAATTCATATGGAAAAACGATTCAAAAACCAATTAAAAATGACTTGGTTTACAAATATATCAATAATAAAGGAAAATGCGATTCAGATAGATATCTTAAAAAGAACTTTACATTAGTTAAATCTATGTATGACATATCAGATAATATCAGATGTTTTGAAACAAATAAACCATTTGATGACTTCTATGTTCCAAATCTCATTGGTGTACAAATATTAAGTATGAGTAAGAGAATAATGAATGAAGTAATGTGTTTAGCAGAAGATTTAAATATAGATATATATTATCAAGATACTGATTCAGTGCATATAGACAAAAATAAGATAGAATTATTAGAACAAAAATATAAAGAAATATATGGTAAAACATTAAGAGGAGGTGAATTAGAACAATTCCATCCAGATTTTGATGAATTATCTGGGAATGTATATTCTTAGGTAAGAAAGCTTATATAGATGTATTAACAAACGATAAACAAAAACATGCTTTACATATGAGAATGAAAGGTATTCGAAACAATTTATTGGAAAATAACGAAAATCCAATTGAATTATATAAGAAACTCTATGAGGGAGAATCTTATACGTTTAACTTACTAGAATTAAAACATAGTTTCGATTTTAGTAAGTCATTTGATATTAAAACAAGAGAGAACGTTACTAGAAAAATCCAATTCTAAACGAAGACAACTTATTCTTAACCAATTATTTAATAGACTTTTATATGTTCCCAGCATATATTAGTCTATTTTTATAGTTTGAAATCATTTGAGATTATTTTATAAAAATAAAAAATAAAAATAATTAATTTGAAATAATTTTAGAAAGTATGATATCATCTGAAATAATATGAGAATCTCTGAGAAATACTAAAAATATATAATATAATATGAGAGTTTATATGAATTGTTCTAAAAATTCATCTATATCTTTACATTCAGATTCTGATTTAAATTCATCAACAAGATATTTCCTTAGTGGTTTATTACGAAATGTCATTCCTTTATGATTTTTATCTTTGATACTATATCTAACCCAATCGTCACTATATTTACTAACTCTAGGTTTGATTAATTTGACAGTGTTGTCCTTAATTTGAAATAACTCTTTAGATTCAACTCTATTGTATAAATCAACTTCGAGATTATTTAATTCTGTAATATGAACACATTCCTTTTTAATAGCTTTAATAATACGTCCCATGGTAGTTGTCATTTTAGACTTACAAATAATTATATAATCACTTTAAAATAATAGCTAAAAAAATAATTCTAAAATAATTAAACCTAAATAACGGAGCGAAGCGACGAAATCGTGAAGATTGAGTGTTCCCAAAGGGTGCACGAAATCGGCACGATTTATATACTACTATGGAAAAGGTATATTATCAAAAAATAAAATTTTAAACCAATTGATAGTTTTGTGGTGATTGTAGTTTTTATAATCTATTTTTATTTTTTTTAATCAGTTCGTTTATCAAAACAATCAATTTGTTTTTTTTGACCTTTCCTTAACTTGGGACTTAGACGTTTTTTTGGACACTCTGTTTTATACGAGTTGTTCGAATGGGTGAGATGATGGTATCTCACGTTACGACCCTCCCATGATTTCAAAATATGCAATATTTTGACATTGTTTTAACTTGTTGTTATTTTATGGTTGTCTCTAAAAAAACAAGTGTTGAAAACTCACACAATTTCATTGGTTGTGTTTATTTCAATGATTTTTTGTTTGTGTTGTAAGTTTTTTTAACATAATAAAAATCAACACAACTGATTTTTATTTTAATCATTTGAAATAATACGAACTAATCAATCACACAAACAATAAGTGAGAGTTGTCATTAAAGCGACAAAAATGTTAAAAAGGAGACCGAGCTAACGAAGAGGAGACTGAGATGATGAAGAGAAAGACTGATATTATAAAGGAGAGATTAAGATGATGTAAAATTACAATAAGTTCGTGATTGTTCATTCTATTGATCGATATGAATATGTACTTAACTACTGAGAATTCCAAATAATGCTCCAATTGTTTTTTTTCTGAACCATGAAACTTTTGTACGACTTGTTGAATTCGTTGAGCCATGTCTATTGTTTGGAAATTTTCATCATAAAGACTTTTCAACAAATCAAATGCTTTTACTTCAAATTTTGTTTAAAATCGTCTGTTTAAAACATTTCTTATATATTGTCTTTAATTTCATTTTCTTCAAAAGTCTTTTATTCTTTTTTTCATTACAAATCGTTTAGACTCTTTCATACTAACCAGTACACACTATGTTCTTGTTCATCTCAATCAATGTTGGTGTTATTTCTTCCATAAAAAATCAACGTTTTATTAATATTAATAAAAATAACTTAAATAACTTATGATTTGATTTATTTTTATTTGGTTTTTCGTTATAATAATATAACAATATTATTATTATTATTAATTATTATAAAAAAATGCATAAGCCTCAAGATTTTACATAAGGTTTAATGACGATACGGTGGGTAATATCCTATTGGAAAAAATGGGAGTTAATTTGTATTAATTATTTATAAACAGCTTCTCTTAACCATCTAAAGATTTATAATTAAATTAATTAATGTTAAATAAATAATTACACTTTTTTGACGATTTTGTTTTCACAATTACTTTGAATTATAATAAAAACATTAATCTTTAAAGTTTTTAAGCAACAAATTGGAATTGTAACGAAATCCAACATAGTGATAACTTCATTTGTTATTTCGATTTTAGTAAACTTATTGTAAAATATAACTTTTTGTATTAATTTCGTACTTGTGGTTAAAAATATAATTTTTCTATGTTATAAAAATACCTTTTACAAAACATTCGAAAACTACTATGTGTTAATTGTTTGTTTCATAAAATGATTTCCAATTTTAAGATTTGAATTTTCTTCTATATTCTGCTATAATCAAATCCAAAAATAAAAATTCATTCAATTGCTAACTTTTATATTGGAAATTCGTCAAATATGAAGAAAAATGGTATTAATTTACACTGAATTGTCTGGTTTCAGATTGATGTAAAGCAGAGCTCAGACTGTGGCATCGCCAAGTCCCCTGCCTCAAGTGTGACGACTCTTTTGTTTGACATCAAATTGACCAAGTAATCGTTAACTCTTTTACCAGAGCTTAGTATGTCGTTCCTTGAAAAGCAGTATGCTCCTTCATAAAAAACGTTTTGTATTCTTTCAGTTTGAATAGATTTCATTGAGTTTTTTGAGAGTTTTGAGTCGAAGAAGTACCCAAATTCCAAGCAAGCATCGAACACAAAGTTCTGTATGAACGCACTGATGTTCTTGTTAAACCTTCTGTCGGCGGTTTGTATTGGTACTTTCTTGTTGATTTCAATTGACTTGACCACTTCACATTTTTCAGAAGCAAGTCCGTATACGTCGACTCTTGAAGCCTCGACCTCTATGAAGGTGAGAAGGGGGATTGTTGATGTCCGTGTAGAGATCTTTTTGGGTCTCTTTAGAGTTATCCTAGCGTGCTGGTTAAGAAGAGCAAGGAGGAAGCACTGCTGGAAAGCAGTTTGGTCTTTTTGCTCTCTTTCTTTGACTGCGTTGACGGAGAGACCAAGTGGTTTTCTAGCCTGAGTGGTGTACATTGAACTTTTCTTTGTTCTTTGTGTTTAAACATGCGGAAGTTATTTTTGAGCCGCAATAACGTCCATAATTCAAAATGCGTTTTCCGTGAACTGAGCGCACATTTATGGAACTTGAAGTGTTCTTTTTACGAGCAAAAGTCGTCCTATCATTTGTAAATTTGACGGATAACGACAGTATCCTATTTTCATTTTATTTACATCGCGGAAAACGTTGCAGAAAAGCCTTTTTCTGAATGGTCTTGTAATGCCCAGTTTGCCGATTACCCAAAACAAACAACTTAGTTTGTATGTTGGGGTTTTTCTCGCGCATCTTGTGGGTTTTTACCAAAAGTAAAAAGCCCAGTTTTTATTGGTTAAATTATCCGATATCCCGATAATGGAGGTAAATGTTATACTGATAACGCCTAGGGTTTCGGAAAAAACGAAAAACATAACTGTAAAGCTTTAATTTCCTACTCGTGGAGTATGGTGAAACCAACCGCACGTTGGAAAACACGTCGAAATCACAAGATTTTCTGGAGTTGTTTTCTGCTCTTCATCATTATTCCATTTTCTTGCTCTTAATATATTTCGACACTCCCAAAAAGTCTTGTTTTTTACAAATAATAATTTTGTTGTAATAAAACTTCTAAATTTGGTAGTACAAATAAATTAAAACACTCTTTTGCGAAGCGAAATCACTCCCGAGAAAATTTTCTCCAATTAAACAAAGTGTTAGTAAATAATGTCAACAATAAAACAATTCAAACCGCGCCGTTGTTGTTTTTCCAGTAAACGAGGAGTTACTCCACAGGTCTTCATTTTCGATTCCTTTACTATGTCAAATTTTGCATGTTTATCATGAAACACCAAAGGGTTGTCTGCTCATTTTTGTATCATCTTTTTGCGTCTCCATTGGTTTTCTTATCCAAACTAAGGAAGTTTATTTGTATACTCTCCTCATCTATAACAAAGCCGTGAAAAGTCCGATATATTATAAAACACAAGATTCTTTGTATAATAAAGTTATTATAAAATTATTGTTAAATAAGTAGCTGTTGGTATGTTGAATGCAATTGGCTATTATTGGGTATTGGCTATTTTGCTTGTAAGTATACACGTATAAGAATATAACGCCAAATAGAATAAAAACACGCAGAATTTCACGATCCTGATAAATTAACTCTCGTTGGTTTGCTTTAGGACGGGGTGCCGAAGAGACTATTCAATTAGACGATTCTATTTTTATTTTTTTATTTGAATTGGCGGTTTTGGTAAACGAGTGTTCTTTTTGAGTCACATTTCGTGGCATTTAAAAAAACTGGTAAAAGTTACATGAAACAACCTTTTGAGCTGTAAAGTAATTTCTATAGAAAAATAAATAACTCAGTAGTTAAATTTCTGATATTATAAGCAATAATAAATAATACATAAATAATTTAAAGTTTTGCTATAATACAGGGTCAATTTAGCTCAATTAATAGGATTTTAACCAGATCTTATATTCAGACCGACAAATATGGTTGTTAATATTATGGTTGAATCTTGGTTTTCTCAATTGGCAATATTTTTATGTAAAATTACTTCCAGGCAAATTATTGGAATGTGGCACACAATTTTATTAAATTATTATTATTATTACTATTTAAATAAACTTTGAATTAAAAAGTTATCACATCTTTTATAATCAAAAATTCAAAGAAAAGAAATGGGACAAAAAAGTTAAGCATTATACAAATGTAAAAAGTTGTACTACATTAAACATCTAATAATAAAAAGTATTATAATAATAATACACAATTTATGTGAAATTAAAGAAAAAAACTTATCCCAAAAGCGCTTTTAATTGGAAACGAATCTTATATTTGATATACAAATAGAACATATCCAAAAGAAGCATTTTCACTCTTTTACCATTTTCAGTTCTTGACAAAACATTAAGATAAAAAAATTTGACAAAAGGGGTATAAAAAACAGAAGCGGATAAGTAAATAATATATACTAGTTTGTTAACTTATTTGAAATCTTTGCATCGCTCTTTAACCAAATCCACTTTGATGACGTTTAATATGTTTTAAAGGATAATTTGAATGATTATTTAAATTATAATTCTTGAGCAACTTTAAAAACGAAGAGTTGTAAACTAAAACTTTTCACTTCCACTGCAAATTTTCAAAAGAAACAATCCTTTTAACTTCCCCTTAGTCAAAAGACATTTTTTTATTTGTATTAAGGAATAATTATACTTTAAAAGTGTGTTTTGTTAAGTATTGGAACAATAATAAGCGGTGTAAAGAACTATTTAAATAATTGACTGTTTATGTTTAAAGTAAAACAGAACAAACAAGGTGCTAATTCATGTTTTAAAAATGTTATTATTGAATAGTAAATAACACATGTTTCAAAATGTGACTATTAGAGACATTAATATATTTCAAAAGCGTTTATCATATTAGTTTCTATCAATTGAATATTGTTGTTAAAAAATAATTGATTGAAGTAATTTTATTGTAATTAAATATTGTTGTTTTTAAAATAATAGAAAATCAATGTATTAAAAATATAATCCATTACTATTAAAAATATTAATAATATTTATTATAATATTAAACAATTTATAGTTGTAAATTAAATAATATAATAAGTCTTTGCCAAAATATTACAAACATGAAAATTTGCCAAATAATTACATACCTCAATATCATTTACTATTTCTTTTAATTATTTTAAATTATTTGAAAACTATTTTACTATTAGAAAAATAACCATACATTATAATAATTATAATTATCAAAAATACTAAAGCAACTTAACACACAAAAAACACCACTTAACATGGTAAAAAAGAAGAAATAATTGTCATCATATCAAAATTCATCAATATAAAAAGTTTCATTCAACTACTTTTTGTTGATAATTACATTTAAACAAACATTATATACAATTGATTATTTTAAACTGTCGTTTTATCTTTTTTTATATTACAACACACAATTATTTACGACTATATTTCAATAACACCACATCACAAACTTAAAAAATTAAGTAGTAACCTATTGATTATCAATTATCAATAATTTAATAACAATAGTTAGTATAAAAGATATCACTGTTGATCACAATAATTTCATTTAAAAACAGTACAATTAATAAAACTTAATATCTATTTAATGTGTAAACTTGTAACATCGAATTAGAACTTAAAATGATAACACCAAGATTTAAACAATATTACCATTTACAACATTTTAAATACTGAATTTTGGTTCAAAACACGCGTACATAAGATATAATAACATTTTTATTCGTCTAAAAGTTTAACACCATTATTTTTGTTAAAAACATAACATAAAAAACTTTAATAAAACTTTTTTATGGTTTTTAAGAACAAGAGTTGAATTGTAACTTGTTAACTTCATAAGAAAACAATGTTTTCAATTATTCACATAACAAAGTTATCAACAAGATAAAACGTTCAAATTAATTAATAATTATTAATAACAGATAAAAATATTGTTAATACAAAAGTAATTGTTAAATTTAATTTCCCATTGAATGATAACTGTTAATGACATTATTATTCTCAAATATTGATTATTATTTTGTGTAATTTGTTTGACATTTTGTTAACACAAATAAAATCAAATATAAACAATTGTTTAATAGTGTAACTAAGTTGATTTTCACAATTATCATTTAACAGCTATTTGTTGATAACCACTTATAAGCTAGATATTATATACAATTGTTTTATTAACTATAGTTTTATTTTATTTCAAATTACAACACATAATAGTAAACACAAATGTTTCTAACACCACAACTATTATGATTAATTTAAATAAAATCATTTATTAAATATTAATTTTCAATAATTAAATAACAACAGTTAGTGTATAATGTTTCATAGTTAATCACAATGTTTTGATTAAAAACAGCCTAAAAAATTAAAAGTGGTATCTTTTAAGTAAGTAAACATGTAAAATCAAATTAAACTTTAAATGATAACACTAAGACTAAGACAACAATTTTCAAAAATTTTATGTTATGACTTAAGGCTCACATGTACATGCACATAAGATATTAAAATTGATTGTTTTAAAAGTCCAAGGTTTAAACACAACATCTGTTGTAAATATAAAGATGTTAACAATAAAATTATGAAAAGTTGTTTTGATTGACAACAATCAATTAAACAATAATTTATCAAATAATAAAGTTACAAAACAACTTACAATGTAAATCATCAAATACTCAAACAAACAAAGTCATAAAAGTGGTTTAATAAAAAATAACATATTTTAATTTCAATAATTCGATATAAGTGATTTTATGTTTTTTTTCACCATAAATTGTTCATTTTCTTGTTTCGGCATTTTACAAATATGGTAAAGATTTTTATAAAAAATTTTTTGTTAATTCCCATAAAGTCGCCACAATTGTAAAAAAATATCAAATAATATATTATTTTATTATGTTTAAATTAAAATATATTTTTCTATATAGATAAGGGAATCGATATATCTAAATTAAGTTAACTAAAAAATATAATTTTTTCACTACAATTATAATTTGGCAAATTTTTACCTTTCTCAAAATTCGCCAAACATTTAAGTTTGTAAAATTTTGGCAAAGACTTATAAATAGATATTATTTATTGGTTTCTTATTTTATAATTATTTACTATAAATTAAATTATACAGAACAAAGTATAAATTTTTATTAATATTAAATATGTATAGTGATATGAACACATTATTAAAATAATGGATAATAATCATTATAAAACATATTCTTGTTATGTAATTATTAATCAAAAGATAATTAATAAATGGTCAACATTTTATTATTGATTGTTCATTAAAAACATTATTCAAAAAACGTTTATAATAATTAAGTTGTATTTACGACATTATTATCGAAACAACTAAATTGAATGATTTCATATTTGTTAAAGATGTTTTGGAGTTAAAATATCTTTCATATTTTTAATCATCGACTTTTTATCTGAAAATTAAAAT